ATTAGCCATTTAATGCCTTTTTTTTTTAAAGGTGGTATTACTCTTACAGTGTAACGGGAAAATGTGAAATCGCCCCAACACAACATGTATGACAAACAGACTGGGGGCTCAGGCCCTCGACATACATAGACGTTTTATCTCAGCATCCAGAGAGGGAACGCCCTCCTCGGTCCTCTACCAAAGAATATATCACTCCCGCGGGAACTCTCAGCAAAGGAGTGGGGAGTCCTCAGAAGGGGGCGCGGTGGGTTCAGCGAGGCGGCTGCGATTGGAAACTGGTGTGCTTGCTTGGATACCCGACGAAATCTGACTGAGTGCAACAAGCATTGAAACAACTTTTAGACGGCGTTTTGTTTGGAATTCAGGGATCACGCATTCTTTAATGGTGCTGTTTGTTTTTTATTTCTTCTTTTCTACAAAGAAAAAAAGTGTTGCCTACAAAAGTGACTGCTCACAATATCATAAGTTAAACAAAATGTTTGTCTTTTCATGGTTCTCGATTTTTCCCTTTCTCAAAGTAACAAGTTGGGTTTCAATATTCAACTGTTCTGGCGAAAATAAAGAAATTCAACAGTAAGTGGTTGTCATGTTTAATTCTTTTCTGAAGTGAGGTAGTTTGTATGCGTAAAATGCACTGATAAGTACATTGAAAATTTAACTTTAGAAAAAATATATAGGGAAGCCCAACCCTGTGCTGTTAAATTATCTACCTTCTCCTTGGTGCGGTGAGTTGTGAACATACGATTACACATATTGTTACAACAGTCAAAACCAAACTGAAACCTCTTTGAGATGAACTGTATCTACTATGTTTATCATCTGAAAATATATTAGAGTCTTTCTGTTTTCGTAAAGAGCTTGTTTATTCTTTATACTAAAGGACACTCAGTTCAAGTAAAGTTACTTCCCTATTTAATTTTAACTTTCAAAATGAATTAACTTTTAAAAATTCTTTTTACATTGCTCATATTTTTATCTTAGGTATTATAACTAGGGTTATTTGAATAAAGTGCTGGGAACCATTAGAGCAAAACTGCCTCAGTTATATTTACATTGGTTAAAAATATACATATTTTTACAGCGAGATGAATCAGAAGCATTAAACATAATTGGCTGTTACCGGAGTTCAACTGTTTTCATCCACAGGGAAAATGTTGCCTTTAGCCACCAGAGGGCGAAAGAGGATGTTTACTTTTGAAAGAAAAAGAGAAGAATAAAGCAGGCTTCCTCCTCCGAAAACTGACTTCGATGATTATAATAATGAGAGTCCACCTCCCCCAAGTAAGTCGGTGGAAGATAGATGCTTCTCCATTTCACTAAATTATTTTTGGTGCAGGATGACATTCCTTTTTTGTCCTATTAAAATGTTTACAAAATACTTCATTAATTTTACTTAGTGTTACGGGATTTTTTGTTTGCATTACTCCACAGTCTCTTCCAAATTTTATATTAGAGAAATCCGAACAGTGCAGCATTCTTTAAACTGGCATTTATTGAAACTGATCTGGCCCTAGCCTGTTTGGCTCAGTAGGTAGAGTGTCGGCCTGCAGACTGCAGGGTCCCAGGATCGATTCAAGGGCAAGCTCCTCCCTGGCCCAGGCTCTGGTCAGGGCTCGTGCAGGATGCAACCAATTGATATGTTTCTCTCACATCGATATTTCCCTCTGTCTTTTCCTCTCTCTTTCACTCTTTCTAAAAATCAATGGAAAAATATCCTCAGGTAAGGATAAAAAAAAAAACCTGACTAAATGCCTTACATGTTTTAATTCATTTATTCTCATAAAATAGGTACAGTTACATGATTTTGTATAAATACTAGAGGCCCGGTGCATGAATTCATGCACGGGTGAGGTCCCTTGGCGTAGCCAGTGATTGGGGTCCATTGGGGCCCATCTCACCCAGTCCCAATCAGGGCCGATCGGGGCTGGCCGGCCATGGGAGTTTGGCTGTGGGAGCGCACTGACCACTAGGGGGCAGCTCCTGCATTGAGCGTCTGCCCCCTGGTGATCAGTGCATGGTCATAGCTACCAGTCTTATGGTCGACCAATCATAATGATCGCTTAGGCTTTTATATATATAGATAGATAGATTCCATTATTCTTAATATGATATTGTGGCCTAGCCCTAGCTGGTTTGGTTCAGCAGATAGAGCATCAGCCTGTGGACTGAAGGGTCCCAGGTTCGATTCCGTTCAAGGGCATGTACCTGGTTTTCGGCACATCCCCAGTAGGGGGTGTGCAAGAGGCAGCTGAATTGATGTTTCTCTCTCATCAATGTTTCTAACTGTCTATCCTTCTCCCTCTCCCTTCCTCTCTGTAAAAAATCAATAAAATATATTTTTAAAAATATTGTGGCCTAAAAGAGTAGCAATTGCTCTTAGGATCTAAAGTATTTATTTGTATCCATCGTAGTGCTTATCTGAGGACAAGTGACCTACCCAGTGATCGATCAGTTTCCACATAGATACTTCATTGTCATCAACGGTAAGATGCTATTGTTAAAGAGCTGGCCAGGAAAGTGGTTGATAAAACATTTGGGGGCATCTTTCTGCAAAAAAAAAAAAAAAAAGACACACACACACACACACACAAACAAACAAAAAACCACAATTGAACAGGAATCCTAGAAAGTGTTTCTCACTCCACAAAATCATTTAAAGACTAGATATACATTGCCTAGATTTAATATTTCAAGTTCAGATCACACACGATTATCCACAGAGATACGCAGAAGTAGGAAGTTGGAGTAACCCAATGTCACAGCTAATCTCGTAGTCTAAATTGCACAATGGGTCTCTCTCTCTTTTTTATGGAAACTTTTATCCAAGTTGCCAGTGTAATGAATTATCATACACTTCCACTAAATGGAGGAAGGTCACGTGATTTGCAAAGTAAGTGATTTGCAAAGTAAGGGATGGGTATTTTTTGCCATCTTATTTAAAAAAGTTTTGCTTTGCTTTTCTGCTACATTAAGTAATACCCCTTTGTCATGCCTGACTATACGTAAAGCTGGTGCTCAAAGTATTTAGTAGTCCTGCAAAGCATCAGCCAATCCACACAGATGCCAAACAAATCAAAAGAGAAGCTGCTATTACAACAAACCAGTGATGATTGGCTGAATCCCAGCTCTCTGAACAAAGGAGCGCCTGGATCTGCTTTTATTAATAGTCGGGATTTATCCTTAGTCTGTCCATTGCATTTGTGGGAAAATTTGTTTCTGAGGTACTTTTCCCAAGCTAGAATTTCCATCTGCAATCTCATTTACATTATTTTTTAAGGAAATCATTTAAAGGTGGTTCAAAGGTGAGCTTTAACCCAAACACAATCAAATATCCAGGAGTTCCCCCTTGTTGCTTTTTCCAAATACCCTGTTCAGTGGACACTTCCCATAAATATCAAAAGGTAGGAACACCAGGTGCTGGGTGCTTGAAGACACGTAAGATCCATCTTATTTTCTCTGGGCTCAGAAAGTCTTTTTTGCCCTAACCGGTTTGGCTCAGTGGGTAGAGCGTCGATTCTGGTCAAGGGTATGTACCTTGGTTACGGGCACATCCCCGGTGGGGGGTGTGCAGGAGGCAGCTGGTTGATGTTTCTCTCTCATCAATGTTTCAAACTCTCTATCCCTCTCCCTTCCGCTCTGTAAAAAGTCAATAAAATATATTTTTTTTAAAAAGTCTTTTTTTATTAATATACTAGAGGCCTGGTGCATGAATTCATGCACGGATGGGGTCTGGCTGGCCCTACCCCTATCGGGAGTGGGGCTGGTGGTGGGGGAGGGGCCATGGGCGGTTGGCCAGCCGGCCCCGCCCCCGATTGGGAGAGGCCAATCCAGGATGGGGTCAGCCTCGGGGAGGGTCTGTGGGCTGGTCGAACTCCCGGTCAAACTCCTGGTCAAGGGTACAATTTGCATATTAGCCTTTTATTATATAGGGTTTTTATTGATTTCAGAGAGAAAGGGAGAGGGAAAAAGAGAAACATCAATGATGAGAGAGAATCATAGAAGGGCTGCCTTCTGCATGTCCCCTACTGGGGATCGAGCCCGCAACCCAGGTACGTGCCCTTGACCAGAATCAAACCCAGGACCCTGCAGTCTGCAGGCTGACACTCTCTCCACTGAGCCAAACCAGCTAGGGCAGAAAGTCTTGATTATTTTTATCATAAGCTTATAAATTAAAAATAGGTTTTACCTTTGATCCTAACTTGGATCTCTAGTTTCAAAATCTGGTTTTATTCAGGAAAACACTATGTTCCAAATGCAATGATGAGGGAGCCTGGGGGGGTTTCAGAGTGCAGAACTGTCGTTCCATTTTCCTTGATGCGTTTGGCATTCAGTATCCACTTCCGGGTGTAACGTCTTTCAGATACAGGAAAGCGAGGTTGGCCTCAAGGACTGTAGGACCCACAAGCGTTTCCCAGACGTTCTCTTTCTGTAGAGAAGTTACAACACTTATGCAGTCCACTTACACAGAAATAAAATACAGGAGTTCTTGCTATAACAGAAAGTTTATTTGCCAACCAGTTTAAATCTCAAAATGAGGAATGTAAAGGTTTGGGGTATGAGCAGGGACAGTTCTCCATAGTGGTGTCTAAGCAGAAGCCACTGAGATATTTTATACCTTTTCTTTACTTAACATGTGGTCTCCATGTAGATTTGATTTCTTTCTTTCTTTTTTTTTTAGTACTACTTGTTTTTTGTTAAAATAATCTTTATACTTCCAGGGGGGAAAGCTATCTGGAATGAGTTGACATCTTAAAAAGAAACTATCAAAATCATCTGTTAATGTGTGTGTGTGTTTTAACTGATTTTAGAGAGAGAGGAAGAGAGAGGGAGATATAACTGACATGATGGATTGATTGGTTGCCTCCTGAACCCCCTGCTGGGCATCGAGCCCACAGCCCAAGATTTGAGGGATTCGAACTGAGACCTCCTGGTGCATGGGTTGATGCTCAAACACTGAGCCACACCGGCCGGGCTCAAAAACACTTTTTAAAACTACATTCATCGCTTCTCGGCCTTTTGGCTAAGATCAAGTGTAGTATCTGTTCTTATCAGTTTAAAACTACATTCAGAATAGGACTATATGGAGTTTGGAAAGGTTCTTTTGTGGAATTCTTGTCCCAAAAGCTTTGCTTGGCAACAACTGAGAATAATCAGACACCACACTCTACAGTCTCAGTTTTCTAATTTTGATTCTCTCCAAAATAAATCATTTCTAAGCCTTTAGGCTTCATGGCCTGAATATAAAGAAGTGTTTTCTAAATTCCCTTCATGTAAGTAAACTTGTAGGGATTTAACTATATTCTACACCAAAGATGGCAGTTTCCGGAGTGGTTCCCCAAAGGCAGGTTGTCTTTCACAGAAAATAAAACAGATAATATTGTGAAATGCTGTGGACCGCGTGCTGCAAGCATTTCATGAGCAGCATCACACTTGTCATTAGAAAACTCCTAGTGTGCAGGCACTGTCAGTTTACCCGTGTCATACGTGAGGAAACCGAGGCTTCGAGAGTTTAAGGCAAAGAGCACCCAGCTAGGATTTGGAGTGTGAAAGGGTTCTCAGAGGCCAAAGCCCATCCTCTTGTTTACCACAACACACAAGACCGCTCCCCCACCACCGGGTACTGGGCATTCTGAGAGAAGTCAGAGGGCCCAAACCTTGAAAAAAGTCAGAGGCTGGTGGGAAAGATGATGAAATAATTTGAATGTGACAAGAGTGTCACCAGGACATGTGCGAGGTGCAGGGGGCAGGCAGCAACCACGAGGGTGAAACCACTGAGGCTGCCACTGGAGGAGCGTGAAGGCTCCATAGGCTTCTCGCCCGCACCGGCCAGGTTTCCAGGCCGTCCACTGAGGGGCAGGCATGCTCTTCCCTATCAGTATCTGTCATGTCCCTTGAGCAGGGCTCATCAGTGAAGACACAGCCTTGCCCTGGCCAGTTTGGCTCCGTGGATAGAGCGCTGGCCTATGGACTGAAGGGTCCCAGTCAAGGGCACAGAATTAGTTGCAGGCTCCATCCCCGGCCCCAGTCCGGGCACGTGTGGGAGGCAACCAATCGATGTGTCTCTCTCACATCTTTGTTTCTATCTCTCTGTCTCTCCCCCTCCCTCCCACAATCTCTCAAAATCAATGGAGGATTAACAATAAAACAAATAAAATAAAGACAAAATGATCTCCGCGAGGTGTAGGATCCTTGGCACATTTTAGAGACTGTCCCCAAGCTCTTCCTACAGGAATCTAGGCATTTGTTCAGATGTAGGTGATGCTGATCATCGATTTTATAAGTTAACATAGTGTAGCGATGTGTGTGGGCCCCATGCCCCTGGTGTTCATTGACCTTTTAATACTTTTTAAAGTCAATGCAATATGTATTCCCATATTAAAAAGTCAAGTCATATTACAGAGGCTATAGCAAAAAAATGGCAGTGTCCTGATGTAAATTGCAATGTAGCTATTTTTTTAAAAGGCAAAGACTTTGCTTCTGACTATTCACATTATTCAATAGGATTCAGGTAGGAACGACGAGTGAGTCCTGCATGTGCAGGTCACAGGTTTGGATTGAAGTCCAGCTCACGGGCCTTGTCCAGTCCTTCTGAGGAATAAAAGTGTCCCACTTTGCGGATGATCACAAGAGGGGAACATTGTGCCCTACCTGATTTGGCTCAGTGGATGGGGTGTCAGCCTGGGGACTGAAGGGTCCTGGGTTTGATTACGGTCAAGGGCACATGCCCAGGGTTGTGGGCTTGACCCCCAGTGGGGGGCGTGCAGGAGGCAGCCAGTAGGTGAGTCTCTCTCATCATTGGTGTTCTGTCTCTCTCTCTCCCTCTCCTCTCCTCTATGAAATCAATAAAAATATATTTTTTTAAAACAGAGGGGAACATTGTGGTCATTGGAGACAATGAAGATGCATACAAGAGGCAGTCAACACATAACACCAGGGCACACAGTGCCAGAGGTAAACGTCACCCGTGTCAGCATTTTCCCAAGCCAGCCCTGACTGGCTACGTGAATCCCACCGCTTCCCTCCTCCCAGCCGGGGACCTGAGAACACGAATGACAGTGGCCTCTGCTCTCCTGTCTATTCTGTGCCACGGCTGTAAGAGCATGGCTCTGGGTTATTCACGTTCCTATGTGAGTGTCTGACTCACCATCTTCCCCCCAAGACAAAACCATCTTTTATCACCTCTTACTTATAACTTTTTAAAAAACATATATTTTTATTGATTTCAGAGAGGAAGGGAGAAGGAAAGAGAGATAGAAACATCAGTGATGAGAGAGGATCATCGATCGGCATGACTCCCCCTGAGGATCGAGCCGGCAACCCGGGCATGTGCCCTGACTGGGAATTCAACTGTGACCTCCTCATTCATAGGTCAACACTCAACCCCGAGCCACACTGCCTGGGCACTTATAACTATGTTTTAAAGCAAATTGGCAAGCTAATATTTTAAGTACTTTGATAAGTAATTATTTACAGATATGTCAAAGTAATCATAAATTTATTTAGGAGGCTAGATTTGTGAGAAATTACATCTTTCTGTTTCCAAAGAGAGATGTTTAACGTCCCTTTCTACTTAAGGGGAGTGTCATCTCAGGGACTATGCAGTGCTTACCTTGACCCTCAGGACTTCTGAGGGGGTTCCAACAACTGGGGCACTTTGGTGCCAAGTTTCATCCATCATTCAATGAGCAAGCATTGTTTGGATCACCACTTCTCTGCTAAGGGCTGGTTATAGGGGAGACAGGGTTTTACTGATGACTTGATTATTCAAGAAACATGTTACCAAACCCTTCTTTAGTGCCCATCAGCGTTGCACCATGAAACATTGTCATAAGATGGAAGGAATATTCTCAACAATTCAATGTAGGAGTGCCTTTCTAGAAAACATTTCTATTTCCCAGAACAGCTCGGGTGGGGAAGGGGGAATAACTGAGGACATGGAAGTTTTGGAAAAGTAAATCTCCTTTGAAGTCATCATTTAATTTCTTGACTACTTTAGGTTCAGAATAAAAATATTTAGGGAATATAGCACAAGAAGCAAAATATGTTTCTACTGGAGAAGGTGTACCTTCTCGCTTAAAATCCTATATAATAAAAGGCTAATATGCAAATAGACCGAAGGGCGGAACAATAGGTTGCCATGATGTGCACTGACCACCACGCTTAACACAGGAGCTGCCCCCTGGTGGTCAGTGTGCTCCCACAGGGGGAGCGCCGCTCAGCCAGAAGCTGGGCTCCTGGCTGGTGAGCCAGCAGTCAGACATCCCCCGAGGGCTCCGGGACTGGGAGAGAGCGCAGGCTGGGCCGAGGGACCTCCCTAAGTGCACGAATTTTGTGCACTGGGCCTCGGGTAGAAAAATAAGAGAAACTCTCTTGTATGGAGAATGGTATGTCACTACATGAGGCTCATCTGGAGGAAACTGCACTGATGGTCTGGTTTGTTTGGGGCTTGTGGTTCCGTGTTCTGCGTGACTCTCTAGGGCAGGTGAGGCAGCACCTGCTCACTGCATTTTGGTTGCTCTGTTGTAGTCACAGGTAGCAAGCAGTGGGCATTCACATTCTTCTGTCACTAGGCCTTCCCAGGGAAATGAATGTTATCTTCTAGCTAAATTAGCGTTTATTTTCCCTGTGGTTTTACATTCAGGTTAGTAAAGGCATGCTTAAAAAATACATTTGCAATCTTAATAGAAGGGCTTGACTTAGGAAGCCCTTTGGTCAAGATCTAGTAAATCATTTTTTAAAAAGTGAGTATCTAATTTATCAGAAAGGAAAAACTGGGCTCTGCAATCGGCTATTCTCATACTAGGTCCTTTATTAAAATATTGTCACGGGATAGTTCTATGCGTAAAATTCCTGTGAGGACAGATATTTAAACTGTACTTCAGCCCAGAGATTTGGTCTGTTCTCAAGATTTGCAGTTGGCTCGTATAAATATTACCAAGCATGAAGGATAACTTTAATAATGGGAAATTAGATTTCTTGACCCGCAGTTCAGCAAATAGATTTATGCAAATCTGAGGAGGTTCGCTTCTGAGGAGGTTCTATGCTTGCTGTGTGACACTCACTATACATGAGTGCAATATACAGTCTGCTATCCAAGGAGGCTACTCTCCCCACAGTGTTTCCAGAGCCTGCGTGTGCGAGTTGGAAACAGACTCTTGATAAACACCACATTCCCTTGACATCACTTAACCTTAGGCTATGTCATCATTTCCATTTAGTAAAGGAAGCCATGGAGACGGGTGAAATGTCAATGTTTCCCCACGTTTATGTCTTTCCTGTTAATATTGCTGAGGTCCTCTGACCGCATGGCTGTGCTCTGTGCCTGTGCTTCTTACGCTCTGGGACGCATGCAAAGAGCACAGGTAGCTTATTAACAGGCAGACGCCTGGGCTACAACCTGGAAGCCTGACTTAGGGCCAGTCGGTAATTCTGATCAGGAAATTCCACTCAGGAAGCTGAAAGCCCATTGCACTAGGACCTCTCCCTGTATGTGCTATTAGCTGACCACTGAACCTTGGAGGCCAGCAACTTGCAACCACCCAGTCCTCAGCCCATTGTGCGCCATACGCTGCTGTAGAGCAAGTGGCCAACCTTCCCCACACGCCACGTGCATCTATTAAAAACAATGTTTCCCTAAGTGGCAGCCCTGACCAACTTTAACATCATTTTTTTGTGAGAATTTTCAGCTGAAAATATTGTGAGTAATATATTCATTTTTATAATATTCATTGCAAGTTGATTTTTTAAATTAAATTCAAAATATCGTGGCGTGTGGGGATGGTTTTCGTTTTGGACATGTGGCAGTTAACTGATTAAAATCAGTGACAGTTGTCTATGAAGAGTCTATCCATGTAACCTGAAACTCATACAAAACTGAGTACACACTATAATTGACAATAAAATAATAAATAAATCAAAGAAAATGGAGTGAGGATGACCAAGTCACTTAAAAGTACTTCTGTGATTGAATACTCTATATTTTTTTAAAAAGTAAATATTACCAAAAAATGGTAAATTATTAGTATATCCTTAACAATCAGTTATACATTGGTCTAGCCATATGATGGAATATTATTCAATAACTAAATTTGATATTATAAAAGGATATTTAATAACATGGGGAAATAATTCACAGTATATTAAATGGAGAAAAAAGCCAGCAGTTTAAAGAGTTATGTAAAAAAGACAT